GTGTTCCTCTTTATTGAGTTATAACAGGTTATAACTCATCGTACAGCCTCAGGGCTTTGACAAAAGCCAGTATCTAAGACGGTTCCAGAGAGGCCAGCTCTCCATCTTCGACATCAGCCGTACCAAAGTTAATGGAAAAAACTGTTGTCGTCTCGGTGCACTTAGTGATAAGGTGTTCTGGTGTTTCCCCATTTTTTCTACATAATCTGCATTCACCGTTGTTTCTCAGCTTCAATCTACTGAGGTATTCGTTGAGAACACAGTGTCCTGTTAGAAACACCGAAGATTGTTTTTATTTAAATCAAGGAAAATCTTCTTTTTTTTTCCTATAGTAAGTTCTGAGGAAATTTTCGAGTGCCTTTAGACCGTTGGAGGATTCCCATTCCAGGTTACGGATGGAGTATTCCAGGTTCTTAGAACTTACGACCGAGAAAAATCAAAGGCTTTCCTGGACTTATAAAAGCAATTGTCTCACGATTGTCACGAGGTTTAATTCCTAACAGGACACTGGTACTCCTCAAACACACACCTCAGTAGGCCTGAAGCTGAGAACACGCGCTGAATCTGCAGATCCCTATGTGTGCTGGGGGCGGGGAAAATGAAGGAACACCAGAACACCTTACTCATCTGAGTGGCCGAGACCACGACAGAACATTTTCCCCCTGTGCCATGCGAAACTTTGGTGCGGCTTGATGTCGAGGCTATGGAGAGCTGGCCTCTTGTTGTTTGGAGCCCCGTCTCAATTGCTGGCTTTTTAAGCCCTGAGACACTGAGATTGATGAGTTATAACTCGCTATAAGTCTAGAAAGGGGAACACAATCTAATAGATCATCTGGTTTAAGGGTCGCGGTGTTGATTGTGGTTTTTGGTTGGTTTTAACTCCCCTCCTAAACATTCTGCATTCCAGGTTCTTAAGTTCTGCTTTTAGTTTGTTAGGAATGCGCTTGGAATTGTTCGATGTAAAAGCAGACTCTTTAAACTTACAGCTTTTTGTGGACAACCAGTGCTTTCGACTAATTTATGTTATCCTGCTTGGACCAGGCATGGCCTGTAATACCTGACTGGTTTTTTTTAGCTCTTTGTGTATGCTTTTTATGTTCATTAATGTTTTACATTTAGAGGACTTTTATCTTACCGAATATACCACTCATCACAATCATATTTCTTTCTCTATTCTGGTGTTTCCTGTTTTGATCTTGTAAAGAGGTTTCCAGCAAGTAGAATGTAGAATGAATAAGAGGGGGGGTTAATCACTGCGACCTTAAAGATCTATTGTGCCCCCCTTCCTTGAGTCATATCAATCAGTCTATAACCCATTATACCCCTGTTGTAGAGGGGACAGGGTATTTCCCATATACAGGGTATTTCCTCCGAGGGTACACACCCTTCCACGGTTGGAGTTTGGCCCTCCGTGTCGCCCTTCACAGACGAAGAGCTTGCCTCCGGCTGAGAAACCCGTGAGGTGGAGTCTGGAGGATCTGTCTCCATTTTCTGCGCATCTTTAACTTGGTCTCTCCTTAGACCTGATACCGGTGTTGTCCTGTATCTATAATAGAGGATATGTCCCTCTTTGTCTATTGCCTCCTTGGATTTGAGGTCAATTCCTATTGTGAGGACCTGACCATGACCCTCCTCCCTCGAGTTGATGACTCGCCAACTCGATGTCCTTACATTGAAGTTCTGACCCTGGATAAGGCTCAGCAGGTAGGTGGTGTCTTTCCTCTTGTTCCTTGACAGAAACACTTAGAGGTGTTTTAGAGGTGTTTTCTCGCTTCTCTGCAACCGTTCCGGCCCCTGCCAATTTTTAAGCTTAGGTGCGATTTCCACCAACCAATTCGCCGATTCTTGAGATACACAGTCTATGAGGATCCATCCGAAAGTGTATCCCTGCAAAAAGCAGATGACCCACATTTTGTAGATCGTTGTGTTGCGATCCGATCGCCACTACTTCGTCCAGTATAGCCTGTTCTAGAGACTTTTGCTGGTCGGTGGTCAGAACAACCTCTGGGAAATCCTTTGGCAGCACCGCCATTTTCACATGTCCAGCAATAGCGGCAAAGCTTGTAATACGTCCCTGCTTGCCTCCCGGTTTTGGACGGCTTCATCCTGGCTTTTTTTCTCCCTGTCGGAGAAGAAGTGAGAGGTTCTCGCTCCATCTCTTGCCCTTTGATGGAGATGAGTCAGGTTGTTTCTTGGTTTCTTTACTCTCCCCTTTCGGGGGAGTGTTTTCGCTTTTGCTTCCTCTGGAGCAAGTCCTTCGTGGAGCAGTCGGAGGTATCTCCGTGCTTCTGCTCCGCTAAGACCTACTCTCAGAGGATCGTCTACCCCGCCTGGTTGACCCAGGCCGGGTAGACGAAACGGTAGCTTGTGTTGCTTATCGGGTCTAGAGGTAGGCTCTCGACCCTTGCTGGAGAAGGTAGTAGCTTGTGTGCCACTTGTGGAGGATGATCCCAAGCGTCAGCCGCCCCTCTTGTAGTTTCCTTTGGATTTGGTCCCTTGGAACTCATTTGTAATGTTCCCAGTGTCGCTAGGGGGCTTCCCCACATCTTCACCGATGGTGTTTTTAATGCTAGATCTCATAGTGTTCCAACGAGTCGCTAGGGATAGTCGGTCCACTTCTACAGAGCCCCGCATGTAGAAGTAAGAGGTAAACACAATGGGGTGCCCCCTGATGCCCCAAGGTTGAGGCCAGTAATGGCTAGTCCTCTATCTAGTCACGCATCCCTTTGACCTGGTCCCGCCATCGTAGGATTTAGGTTTTTGGTGAGGTTGTCTCCTCTTGGTCCAGGCGGTTAAGCCAAGACACTCCACACCCTCTACCCGCGAGACATGACCACAGTCAGTAGAGGGTGCCTGGTATGACGGACAGGGTAGCCTCGTCCGGCATCGTTATACGTCTTGGTGCAATTCCCTGGTCACGACACTACAGCCAGGGACAAGACGATGAGTGAGATGTAGACCAAGCCAGGCGCTAGGGGAATTCCCCCAGCACCTGACCAGGAGCTTCCCCACCAACGACAAGGTCTTGCATCTCCTAGGGGAAGTTCCAGCAAGTAAGAAAAGTCGAATTTGTTAACCATTTACATAATTTCTTCTAATATTTTCTGCTCCCAGTGGGCATTTTATTCCTATAAGAGAAATGTGTTCTAGGTGACGTCGTTGTTACGTTACCCATCTTTTGCCTGATATGAAACAATAAAACGCAGATACGTAATTGTTCCCTAATGTTCCCTAAATATGTCAAAACTTTGCTCACGTACTTTGCTCACTTTGGGCTGCGTACTGTGGATAGGAGACTTCAACAATAATTTAAAAAAATAAAATATAAAAACTCCGAGTCAAACTAAAACAGTGGAAAAGGGAAGCTTGGTTAACGTCAATCCAGATCAAATAGCTTCCTTTTTACGTAAACGCTTCACATTCGGCCACTGTTTAATCAAGTCGTCTACATTCGAAGATAACGTGCCATCTTGGCGAGATCATGCGAGGCTGTGAAATCCTAAACCTATGGCAACGTGTTTCGGTTTGCTTTTACCTTTGCTTATCAGTTTGTTCGGCATTAAAATATTAAAACGGTACGGTTTAATTTCATATTTAAATATTTTCGGAAGTAGAATTCCTTATTTGAGTTCCTACCGTTACGACAGACATGCACAACAAACGGAATAGTAGATTTTGCGGATAGTTTTTGTTTTCTTAGATTCTATTTGTTTAAGTATTTGTTATTTTCGGTACGTAGATTTATAACATAAGGATGTTTAGTTCCTTTCTTTTTTACTAGAAGAGATTGGAAATTTAGTTAAAACTTATCAGTTTATTTTTTTTATTTAAAATATTTTTTACTAAAGTACTTTTTCTACATATACGGAATTTTCAGAGATATATAGTGCGTTTTCAGAGGGATTTGCCTGTTGGATGTAGTAAAACCTGTAAATGTATCAAAATATTACGAAAATCTTAGAATTTCTGTTTTCTTTAACAGAACACCTGTATATTTTAAGTTTTTAAAATACTTTTTTCCTCCGATTTCAAACATAAATATAAAATTTGTCTACATTTACTTTTTGAATTATTTCTAGTTTAATCAGTGTTTAAAAAAAATTTCAATAAAATTAAAATTTTTTTAGTGTGTATAGAGGGTTTTTAGAAATACATTGCCGTTTAAAGCTAGAAATAATTCAAAATAAATTTTTAGACACTCTGTATGATGTAGTATTATTTTTATTTTTGCAACACAATAATCGATCAATAAATAAACTTCAGTAAATATTTAGTATACTAATATATAACTTTGATACCCTTGGAGAAATGAATGCTTTAAAATTTTTACTGCAATTTCACAAAATTGAAAATATTTCAAAAAACGGTAAGGTTTAAGTGTGATAAACCTTAATCAAATTTATTTCTTTTATTTTTAATCAGAAAACTAAAATCTATCAATATACAGCGTGTTCCATTTAAAATAATACAACTTTGATATTTTAATATATTTGGGACACTATGTATCTTGTAAAAATATTTTTAAATTGTAGCTGTAATAGTCCTTCAACGAACGTTCAAATCGAACGAATCTAATCGTTTAGCTACAATACTCCATGTCATATGTGGTGAACAACCCTGTAAACATATAGTTATAGATTACTCTTACTGGCATATTATTATTAGTTTATATATTTTTTTGAAATTTACAAAGAACATCTTGGGAAATTTTGAAAATTGAATTCTACTTGATCAACGTCTCATCCTCGTATAGATATAGATATATCAAATGTGTCGTATAGATATATTAAATAAATAAAAAGATATAAACATAAAAACTACATACTAGCTAGAAATATAAAAAATATAAATAATGTTCAATAACTTAAGAGGATACTTATAAAGATTTCTGATGATCTTGATCTGATGTAACATATATTTAATATGAACTACTTTGAATTTTTTTTTATGTTATATCGATAATCTATATACATAACATCATTTTCTGTTGTTTGTTTCAGAGTTCACTCAATTTTTAACTGAAGCACAACTGACAAAGCACCAAAATGTCGAAGAGCTTGAATTCGATGGTATGGGACTATTTGGTGTTCTTCATCTTCGTGATAGCCAGCACGTTCGTGGCAGTGTACTCGAGATTTTTCGGGCCTAAGGAAAAAACGAAAGCTGATTATGTGTTCGCCGCCGGGAAAGTGTCCATGGCCGCCATGATGTTGAGCATAGCCAGAGGCACTCTTGGTGTCAGATCGTTTTTGGGTAAGTTTAAATTCTAGACATTACAATTTGAATTAATAAAATCACACCATGGAAGCCTCTCATACACCGCGCAAGCTCCAAAGAGAACGATAGTTTACATCGAAATGGAATTTTGCCAGCATATGTAGGTTAACTGTAAGCATCCTATTTTACTGAGATGTAAAACTATTAACATAAATAAAAGAAATTTAGGTCAAATTTTATTAAATAATAAAGACAAAACTAATGTCAAAAATAAGTCGGGTGTATATAGGGTGGATTGCAATGATTGTGATGCCGTGTACATAAGCCAAACAGGTAGAAATTTAGATATAAGGATTAAAGAACATAAAAGTCTATTAATAATCTCCAGCATAGTTCTGTCTTGCAACTCATTGTATAGTAAATAATCACAAAATTAATGAAAACTCAATTAAGTTACTACACAGAGAAACAAAAGGTAGACGCTTAAATTACATTGAACAGTTAGAAATACTAAAATCTGTTAAAAACGAAAAATAATGTTAACGACCAACAAGGATTTCTAAAACACATTTTTATTACCCCTATTGTAAACTCTCTGAACCCACCCCATAGTAAATATATATAGTTACAGTGTAGTTAGACGATTAGTTCTTAAAAAACTCTTGAAAAAGGCCTAACAAGCCGAAACATATATGTTGAGTTAAAGTTACTCTTATTAAAAGTTTTTTGAAACATCTAAAAGCGTGCTTTATTAAAATACTAATATTAATAGTATTTTGAAGAGACATGAATTCTCCATTCAATATCGGAATAATATAATGGGTGTTCCATTTAAAATAAAAGAGTAACATGCTTTTAAAGTGAGCAATGTTACAATATTAATTTTGTCTCACCCTGTATAACTTTTTGGATCAAGTTTTAGTTTGATTTAAAGTACAGTAGTTATTTTAACTACATATTAGGCTATACCGGGTAAATTCCAATTTAGGTAGCTTTTATTGTAATTTTAAAATTGTTCTTTATTTCTAGAAAATGTTAAATATGTCAAAAACCTTACTTTTTATTCATACACTTCTCTTATAAAACTCACTTTTATTTTTCTCCCAGAATCCGAAAGTCAATTAATATATAGGATGTTCCATTACAAAAAACACAACTTTGATATGTAACTCTTTTTGGGGACACCCTGTAGAACTCTCTATATTTTTAAAAAGTGCTCTGAATTAACCTACATATGCTCACAAAATTTCATTTCAATACAAACTGTCGTTCTCCTTGGAGCCTCCGCGGCGTATGAGAGGCGCCACCCTGTATATTCAATCTCTAATCTAAATATTGTTTATTCCTATTCTATACATATTTTTGTGTAAAGTTGTGCGCGTTTGTTTTGTTAGTAGTTTATGATTGTTGTAAAACCCTCTTAAATAATGATTCCTGATTATGAGAATAACTCTAAATTTATTTTTATTTTCTTTAGATATTCATTACCCTAATTTTAGTTCTAAGCACACATTGTTCACCACCAACAATCTCCGATTGTTTTTGAGTATTCAGAATTTTTTTTCTAGAAAAACTATATTGTGGGCCTTTAATGTATTTGTCTGTACGATTAAATATTACCGATGAATAAAAACAATAGCGAAGCAAGACGAAGTATATTAAATTTAGAAGAAAGAAAAAAGAAAAAATCAATCGATAATATTAATTAGTCCTCTTTAACAACAAATATTTAAACAGTTTTTTTTTAATTAAATAAGCGAACGTATAGACAATATTAGTATCTGTACTCTTTAAAAATTTGTTACATCTTTAGAAATAATCTAAAATGTCAATATTCTATCGGTATAGTGATAAATGAGGTGTAAATTATAAGAAAATGCATTTTCTACGAAAACTTAAAAGATAGGTAAAAAGTTAGTGTTATAATAAAATTTGATAGGCAGTTAAATTGTGCATCGGATTCTCGTAAAACATACAGGGTGTTCCATTTAAATTAAACAAGTTATTGCCGTTTAAAGCTAGTAATTATTTAATATAAATTTTTAGACACTCTGTATAAGGTAGTATTTTGTTTATTATTGAAACACAATATCTGATCAATAAATAAACTTAATGAAATATTTAGTATTAAAAACTTTCATACCCTTAGGGAAATGAAGCCTTTTAAAAAATTTACTGCAATTTCATAAAATTGAAAATATTTCAAAAACGGTAAGGTTTAAGTGTGATAAACCTTAATTAAATTTTTACTTTTATTTCAATCGTAGGTAGAATCGGAAAATAGAATAATAAACAGGGTGTTCCATTTAAAAAAATACAACTATAATATTTTTTACTTATTTGGGACACTCTGTATCTTTTAAAAATATATTTAAATTGTAGCTTTAATAGTCCTTCCAAAACTTACAATTTGTAAAAATATAATCGTTTTACTACAATACTCCTATAACATAAGTTAATATTGAATAAAAATAAATGAATATAACATAGTACTAGACTACATCTCTGTCATTTTTATTCAATGCTGAAATATCAAATAATCAAAAGAAATAAAATTTTTAGACATATTGTTTTGGGAGCATAACAAAATAGTAAACTATTTTATCGTTTAATGTTGCTACGTATTCCGTTTTGCTCTAAAACAATTTTTTATTTTGCTTTCAAATCGAAGACTTTAAAAGGTCGTGCTTTAAATGAAAAATTTAATACATCCACTTCAATAAAACTTTCATGCCGCCGGTTCGGAAACCGTAAACCTTTTACTAACGCTAACCAGATCGCAGCCCCATTTAAAAATGGAACAAAATGTTTCATGCAAATGTTCGTCAATATTGTATCCAATTTTTTATCGTATCGTATCATCTAAAATTGGTATGTATAGTCCACACAAAAATGTTGGAAAGTACATAGTCTAAAGTATACAAGAGTTACTCATCCTACGTAAATAATATCTACGTACTATAATATTACATTATACCGATTTGGTCATCGAATCTGCGCAGTCTGGATTTTAACCTGTAAGACAGTGTTGTAGACAGCTTAATGGAAAATCAAATGTATTAAAAAGAGATAAAAGTTGGGTTGATACATTTCTCCTATGCGGTATTGCCGATTTACGAAAAGCCTTGCATCTAGAGTTGGAACATTATTTTTCACTATATTAGTTACTCATTTTACTACAGCTATAATAGATTATATTTAGCTTAAATATATTATTTTCATTTCAGTAGTATACAGGGTGTCCCATTTTAGTTGAAATCATACGGTATCTCCGTTATTAGTAGATAAAAAGGCGCGGTTTGCACAAACCTGTCCCACTTTTTTGTCAAACGGAAGATGCCGTAAACAAAATTTTCATAGCCCTTTTCGTTTCTGAGCTACAGGATCTTTTTGAAAATTTTGCAATTTGGGACACCCCCTGTATCTCTGTTACAGTTGAAGGTATCGAGAAAGTGAAGACTGTTTGTTATCGAACTTTTTACGTAGAATACAGTGACGTAGTCTGTTATTTTACGTAAGTAATATTTTTAAAGATATGAACTAAAGTTATGTTTCCTTAAATGGAACACCCTGTATATTTATAAATTAAATGATCTGGCTTGCCATAAGGTTCTCAAAAATATATATCACTCTATATTTATTTTCACTATTTACTGCAATATTTAAAAAAAATATTAAAAGATTATATATTTATTACTAGGCCATTATTGATAATAAAAGAAACTAAAGAATTATTAAAAGTATACTACTATAGCCTATAAAATGAATAACTTTGAATTTTGAACCGTTATTTTTTACCAACATGGCAAATATAAAATCCTTCTATCAAAAAGTTACTGATATTCTTTAAATTGAGTGCCTGAACGAATCAGATAGGTAACTCTTTTTACTTTCGTCAAATAGAAAAGGAAAATAATGAAACAAGTGACAGTTCTTCCTCTTCTTACAAAAATCAACACGAAATGTCATAATTATCAAAAGTAAAATGTCATCAGCTTCTGACATTTTTAAATATCAGACCAATGCCGTCTCTAATAGAACAGCCGCGGAGCGAGATTTATGGCGTCCCGCGAGTTAGATACTACGGATTAATAAATATGTTGTAGAATATGTATATTTTTTGTTCGGTTAAAAAAACGTTTCGGCTAACATTATAGCCTGTATATACTAGTTGAAGCCTGGCGCATCCGCCACGACATCAGGAAAAAAATACTTTTTATTTTTTTTAAATAAATGAAAAACAAAAAATCCGGCGACGACAGTTTTTAGAAGAGCCAATTAGCTATCTTTCAGTAAAAAAGCAACTTTCTAGAGCAAGTCGTTACTTCTATAGGGACGACACAGATAAACATTAGCATTTTATATATGTAGATATTTCATGTAAACTATATCATTTTTAAAATACGAACCAAAAATAGGAGGAATAATTATGTTATCCATGTATTCTATAACATATTTATTAATCCGTAGTATCTAACTAGCGTGACGTAATAAATCTCGCTCCGAGGCTGTTCTATTAGAGACGGCATTGCGTCAGCATGGCAGCACGTTGCTAACCTAATAAAATTAACACTAGGAAAGCCCGCGTGAACTGTCAAATTCAAAGTTATTCGTTTCACAGACTATATCGGTCTCTTGTTATATTTTGAGAGCCACTAATAAATTCTTTATATATTAGGGAAACTTAACTCTCTACCACTATTTGTAAATGTTGGAAGCTATCGTATCGGACTTTTAAATATTCCTTTAGCTAATTTACGTAAAATATACTTTCAGCCAAGATGGTCCCCCTTACAACTTAACTTACAACGAAAATATTTGAATTTTGTAAAATTATTATTTCTCAAATCAATGAAATGGAACCAGTGGACCCATAATATGATGGACCCTCCCTGATTCCCGGATTTGTCCGTTCTTTATTTCTGATTTTGAGGATTTTTGAAAGATGAAATATATCGTGGCAACTAACACAATGTCGAACACCTGGAAAATGTTTAATAATGCAAGCTTTTAAATATTTGCAAACCCATCCCGGT